CAGTGATTCAAAATTGGTATATAAAAAAAACTGGGGGTTGGTGGCTGGTGTTGCGTGCCCTGAAATTTTGCGCTAAAAATTCATGATGCACCTGGCCGAAAACCAAAATAAAAATGGACCAAAAAAAAAAAATATTTTTTTTAAATACAGTCATGGCCGAAATTGTTGGCACCCTTGATATTTCTCCAGGAAATCATGTATTTCTCACGAAACGTATTGCATTAACACATGTTTTGCTTATACACATGTTTATTCCCTTTGTGTGTATTGGGACAAAACAAAAAAAGGGAGGAAAGAAAGCAAATTCGACATAATGTCACACAAAACCTCCAAAAATGGGCTGGACAAAAGTATTGGCACCCTTTCACAACTGCGGATAAATAAGAATGTTACAAGCATGTGATGCTCCTGTAAACTCACCTGGGGCAAGTAACAGGTGTGGGCAATATAGAAATCACACCTGAAAGCAGATAAAAAGGAGAGACGTTCACTTAAACCTTTGCATTGTGTGTCTGTCTGTGCCACACTAAGCATGGACAACAGAAAGAGGAGACGAGAACTGTCTGAGGACCTGAGAACCAAAATTGTGGCAAAATATCAACAATCTCAAGGTTACAAGTCCATCTCCAGAGAACTAGATTTGCTTTTGTCCACAGTGCGCAACATTATCAAGAAGTTTGCAACCCATGGCACTGTAGCTAATCTCCCTGGTCGTGGACGGATGAGGAAAATTGATGAAAGATTGCAACGCAGAATAGTCCGGATGGTGGATAAGCAGCCCCAAACATGTTCCAAAGACATTCAAGCTGTCCTGCAGGCTCAGGGAGCATCAGTGTCAGCGCGAACTATCCGTCGACATTTAAATGAATGAAACGCTATGGCAGGAGACCCAGCCCCACTGCTGAAACAGAGACATAAAAAAGCAAGACTAAAGTTTGCCAAAATGTACTTGAGTAAGCAAAAGCCTTCTGGGAAAACGTCTTGTGGACAGATGAGACCAAGATAGAGCTTTTCGGTAAAGCACATCATTCTACTGTTTACCGAAAACGGAAATGAGGCCTACAAAGAACAAAACACAGTACCTACGGTAAAATATGGTGGAGGTTCAATGATGTTTTTGGGTTGTTTTGCTGCCTCTGGCACTGGGTGCCTTGACTGTGTGCAAGGCATCATGAAAATCTGAGGATTACCAAAGGATTTTGGGTCGCACTGTAGGGCCCAGTGTCAGAAAGCTGGGTTTGCGTCCAAGATCCTGGGTCTTCCAGCAGGACAATGACCCCAAAAAAACATACGTCAAAAAGCACTCAGAAATGGATGGCAAAGAAGCGCTGGAGAGTTCTGAAGTGGCCAGCAATGAGCCCAGATCTAAATCCCATTGAAACACCTGTGGAGAGATCTTAAAATTGCTGTTGGGAAAAGGTGTCCTTCCCAATAAGAGAGACCTGGAGCTGTTTGCAAAGGAAGAGTGGTCCAAAATTCCGGGTGAGAGGTGTCAGAAGCTTATTGATGGTTATAGGAAGCGACTGATTTCAGTTATGTTTTCCAAAGGGGTGTGCAACCAAATATTAAGTTAAGGGTGCCAATACTTTTGTCCAGCCCATTTTTGGGGTTTTGTGTGACATTATGTCATATTTGCTTTTCTGCCTCTGTTTTATATTTGTTCCAATACATACAAAGGGAATAAACATGTGTATAGCAAAACATGTGTTAATGCAATACCTTTTTTGTGTGAAATACTTGATTTTCAGGAAAAATATCAAGGGTGCCAAAATGAATATAAATGTCAAAAATACAAAATTGGACAGAAAATAAAATGAAATCTATATATTTCCATTGAAGTCAATAGGAGCATTTTTGCATTAATGTCAAGGGGACGTGATTTTGTGTTGAAGTAAAGTATCATTATTGGCACCTTTTTTTTTTTTTTTTTATATGAAATGGCGATAACCCTATTTTCAGACGATAATTTTCGGTGGCCGATATATTGATCCATCACTAGTTCCAAGCACAGCCAGAATACTGGCCACGGTGGAATGGATGTGTTGTCATGCCCAGCGTGGTCAGTGAGAAATAGGAAAGCAGGGGACTGTCAGCATCACCAGGTATTTTACACAAAGGAAGACATACAAAGAGAACATATGATTTAATACCTTCCCTCCCAATCTATAGCAGATTGATGGCCAGCTGGGAAGTTCCTTCTTTTGAGTGAGCATTATATGACATCCCTCAGAAGGCTCTGCTCACTTGGTTGCACAGCGGTGTGATCTGTCACTGGCAGTGTCTATCGGGCACTGCCAATGACTGATCACTACACCGGCCTGCTGCCAGTGTCATGTAATCGATGTGACCAATCGCAGCAGATCATATGCCATCCATTGTATACAATTGTGTTGTTAGCTGTGATTGGTCACAGCGATCACATGGTACAACCAGGGCCAATTATAGCCCATCTGTACCATGTGATTTAGCTTTGGCCAATCACAGCTAGTCACAACAAAAGACATTGAATGAATCCGTTTCATTTAGCAAAAATGGGTTCTTCTATCCATGAAATTCATTGATATAAGCAATCAAGTTAAGAAAAAAAAATCCTGTTCACAAGTCCCCCAGTGTAGTACAGTGTTACCAGTGGTGAATAAATACCATCAAATGAAAACTCTATTTGTGTGAAAAAAAGGATAAAAGTTTCATATGGGTACAGTGTTGCATGACCGCGCAATTGTCATTTAAAGAGCGATGGTGCTGAAAACTGGCCTGGGCAGGAAGAGGGTAAAAGTGTCCAGTATTGAAGTAGTAAACATAAGTACATGATACAACAGAAACATATCAGCAATAAATATTGTTGGGGTAACATATTTTTTAAGGCATGTCTCCGCCCAACTTAGTTGGAAGGCGTTGAGGCTAAGCTCACCAAATGTTGTTCAGATTAGGAGGAAAGTTTGGCAAATCCTAATTTTAGATGTGAAAAACTGTCCATTTAGGTTTTTAGTGCATCCTGAATTTTAGGTTTCGGCACCAGAATTTTAATTTCTGTGCACCACTAAATATAACTAAAAAGTTATAATTCAATCCAAAAAAGGTGCGTTCCTGCAAAAAACACATGAAATGTTCCCACATCAAATATATAAATATAAAGTGAATTAGTGTTGCGCTACTCCATAAAACACATATATGTAATAGACATAAACAAACTTCAAAAATAAATAAATGTGCTTAAAAAGTGCAGTGTGTGTGTGTGTGTGTACAGTGCGGCTCAAGAGCAAGCCTGCTTGAGTGCCCCCATAGAAATAGACTTGCTATGGGGGGCACTTGGTAGGGGAGAGGAGCAGGACCATCAATGGGGGACCCAAAAAGAAGAGCATCAGGGCTGCTCTGTGCAAATCCATTGTACAGAGCAGGTAAGTATAACTTTTTAAATAACCTTTAGAATTACTTTAAATCTAATACTGTATTTTTCTGGATGGGGGATACACAGCAGTCCTATGTGTACCATAAAATAAAAACTAAGAAAAGATGGTCGTATGAGCGATGTCCCATTTCTAGATCATGGGATCTCGGTGTTTGAATTTCTAGGTGGTGTATACTTTTACCAATTACTATTGCTTGTGGTACTTTTGGCCTATGCTGTAGGTGGGAAATGTGGTCTGTATTATAGCCCCAGTTTCTGGGATCAGGGTACTGATGTGGCATGCTGGTGGCCCCACCACTTGCTGAAGCCAGACTGTTCGCATTGGATGGATATTGCAGAGGCATCTGGACATGATCCCAGAGTACTGCTAACTGACTTCTGCCACTGAGTGTTATTTCTGGTAGGCGGAATAGGCATCCTCTGTAAAATTGTGACAAATGCGGGGGATGGTCAGAGCTATGGAAGATCACCCTAATGCGCCCATTTACTTCCTAATAAAGGGTGTCTGATGTTACTCTTGAAATTTGGTTGAAAGCAAGTCAGTATGGAGATGTGGCAGTCCTCGAAACTTTACTGCAATGTGGTGGTGGCTGTATTGTAGTTTTGGAGTTTTCTTTTGGTTTATTCTTTCCTGTCTTTTCCTTTTGTTGTGGTGCATATATGTACAATGTTTTGTGTTTGTGGCCATGCAGCCTTTAAATAACTACATTACCAGGGGATGGGAATTACTGTATACCACGGGTGTCAAACTGGCGGCCCTCCAGCTGTTGCCAAACTACAAGTCCCATGAGGCATTGCAAGATTGACAATTTACAAGCATGACTTCCAAAGGTAGAGGCATGATGGGACTTGTAGTTTTGCAACAGCTGGAGGGCCGCCAGCTTGACACCCCTGCTGTATACCATCCTTTTCTCGGTCTATATTTCTTCCTGGTCTCCTGTTCTGAATGTCAATCTTTAGTTGTTTGTAGGCATGCATCTCATTTATGGAGGGGGTCCTTTTTGTGCTTTTATAGTAGACCAAAGGCAAAAGTGAGAATCCACCAGCTATATTTATACCTAAGAGATGTTGTTCCTCAAAGAGATGTTTGATATTAGTTTGAGGCTTCGGGTCCATTTAGACCAAGTGCATTGTGTCATTCTAATAAAGTTGAAAAAAAAGTAATTGGTCATCTTCACTGTGTACTTCATAGCACACACAAGTGGCCAAGTTAAAATGTTGCTGCTGGTGTGAGCTAGCCCTTAAAGGAATTCCGTGGTCACAGTATATACTTTTCATGTGCTATACCAGTTTTGTTTAGCAGTAACATGGCAAGTACAACATTTTTTACCAAAAAAGTGTTGTGAAAAGCAGTTTGGGGTATTTTTTGCAGTTACAGCTTACTTTTAAAGAAACAAGCATGCATATATATATTAAAAAAACAAAAAATACCTTCCAAACATCTGTTAAGATCTGCTGTTAGAAATCTTTGTGTTTTGGACAGTTTCAAGAATTCAAGTGTAAGATTAGTTCACAAAGAGGGTCAGCTATTTTTTTTTTTTTTTGCAGCCAACATAACATTGTATTTTATTCTTTAATCTTTTTTTTTTTTTTTAATAGGCGATGATGATAACTGGTCTCCCCCATCTGAGTCAGACATGAAAATTTTGAGAGCACGTCGGGAGCATCAAGACAAGGTTAGCCGGTTGATGGGAGATTATCTGTTAAAAGGATACAGAATGCTTGGTGAAAGTTGTGATACATGTGGGGTAAGTAATTAAATATTGATGTGGAAGAAAAATGTACTTTCTTGCTCATATGTAAAGGACTAATGTATGTCTGTTTTGCCGATTGGTAGACTATATTATTACAAGATCGACAGAAGAAATTACTGTGTATCTCTTGTCAAGAACTTGATTCTGACACTGAAAAAGACAACCCAGGTAATAAAATATTGTCACCAAATAATATTTTTGTTCTGTATGTTGTTTCTCCTGTACCACAATCTCTCATATTTGTGTTCTATTGATATTATTTTTATTTGACAGCTAATTAGAGGTATTTTTACCCTGTTAATATTCCCATTTACTATGACTCAGTGCTTTTTATTTTACCTTGGTATTCTGCATGGAGTAACATACAATTATTCTTGTTGTTTTATGTGTTGAACTTCAGATACTGTATTAAAGTGATTTCAATTTTTTTTTTTTTTTCTTTTTGTGGGTTTTTTTTTTTTCCTCTTTAAATAACATGTCATACTTACCTGATCTGTGCAATGGTTTTGCACAGAGCAGCCCCTATCCTCCTTTTCTTGGGTCCCCCGCTGGCGCTTCAGACTCCTGCCCGCCTTCCAAGTACCCTCATAGCAGGCAGCTTGCTATGGGGGCATCCGAGCCACTGCTCTGTGTCCTTTCACACATGGAACGTGGCTCAGCCGTGCCCAAACAGATTTTCTTACCTGTCTGTCTGGCAAACATTGGTCATCCTGGTGAGAAGGAGGGCTTACCATGATATTTTTGCTCCGTAAGGTAAAAATTGGTACATTTTATTCCATTTCTTTTCAAAGGCCCAAAGTGTAAGGCTTGTGACCGGTGCTCTAAAACTGTGTATTCTTTGCACGTTTTTTTGTTGTAGTACCACAGGACAGGGAGAGCTGCCATGACTTCTGATACCCACAATTAGTCACACCAGCTTTTTTGGTAAAGCAATGGACCTGATAGGAAAATTTAGTAAAGTCTCAGTCTTAAATGTTTGGATAAATCTATGCTTCTCCCCCTTGACCCTCTCAGATTAACTGGAGAGGATTGTTTCCCATTTGAATATGTACAAAAATAACTAGCCTGGCCATCCAATTTTCTCCTCCCATTACTGATTTGCTTGAACTTATCTTACTCTCTGTTACATTCTTTAGGATATATGTGTAGCACAAGGTATAAGCTTTTCCTCTCGGTAGTTGGTAGAGTTGTGTTGGTTAGGATGGTGTGGATGCCACATTTTTTGTACATACATCACACTTCTCATTTGGATTCCACTTGAATTCTCTAGACAAATAATGGTCTCTTCTGGAGTTTTATGTGGAGGAAAAAACAACCCAAGATTTGTTTTGAGACCCTACAGTATCCTAAAGTCTGACCTCTCGCTTCTAAATCCTTAGATGTACTTTTTTGGCATATCAAATGCAGCACTTCTTTATTATTGTAATGTCTTTATGTAAGCAAACTGTATGTTGTGGTTAATTTACTTTAAATTGTTTAAAAACCTTCATAAAAGACTAATTTAAAAAAAAAACTTAATCTTGCTCCCGACATATTGGCCCCATGTTGTCATGGGTAACCCAAACTTGGTAATAATGAGCGATTTGCACAGGCACTCATTGTTCCGAGATTTTTCCACCTGGGCATTTTTTGTGTGATTGAGCTAATCATTCTGTACTCTTAAGAGGAAGATGGGAATCTGATTGAAATTGTTACTACTTCTTCCCATTGTTGCTCAAATAGCAAAGGTTTACCTAACTATAATTCTCAGGGAGCCATCTAGACAGCTGTAGTTAGCCAAAGTTTTTAGTTTGTGTCCCCTTTCCTAAGGGGGAATGCCATTAGAGTCAAGTAACCTTATGCTTCAAACAGTGTGAGATAAGTCACTTACCACAGGCGTTCTGGTTGTGCTGTAGACCCACATATTCATCCAATCCATGCTGTTTGGCTGCAAGGTGACTTCCATATTAGCGGAAATGAAGGCTATCACATAATGGTGCACCAGAATGAAAATTCTGGTGCCGAAACCGAAAATTCAAAATGCACTTGGCCGAAAACCGAAATGCGCAGTTTTTAAAAATATATATTTTTTGGCTGAAAAATAATACACTTTGATTAAAAAAAAACAAAATCTACACAATTTTTTTGTAAAATATGAAAGAGGCTGTTACGGTGAGTAAATAGATACCCAACATGTCACGTTTTAAAATTGTGCACGTTCGTGGAATGGCGTGAAACTGTGGTACTTAAAAATCTCCATTGGTGATGCTTTAAAAATTTCTACAGGTTAGCAGTGTAAAGTTACAGAGGAGGTCTAGTGCTAGAAAATTATTGCTCTTGCTCTGATGTTCATTGTGATACCTCACACGTGTGGTTTGAACATACCATTTAAATATGTGGGTATGCGTTCACCACTACGTGCGAGCATGGGGGCACTTTAAACTTTTTTTTTTTTTTTTTAATTTTTTTAATTTTTTAAATTTTTTTTTTGCAGTCACTTAAAAAATTTTAATCGCTTATATTCTTATCACAAGAAATGCATGCATCCCTTGTAATAGGACCTCTATATGGAGAGATATGGTGTCAATAAGACCCCACATCTCTCCTCTGCAATGTAAAGCGTTGGATCAAAAAAAAGCATTGATCTAGTGCTTTAAAAAAATAAAAATGTCCGTAACCGGAAGTGACATGGCTCCGGTCATCCAAGGGCATAGAGATGAGTGGAGGCCATCTTTCCTTCACTAAGCTCTATGCCCAGCACCGCGATCATTCGATGGTTTTTCATGTAAGGCTGAGAACTACCGAGTGGTGGCAGCGGCGGGCGGGTGGCGGTGAGGGGTGGGGTTTTTTCAGGACCTGTATTGGTACTTTTTTTCATATCGGCCGACGGCCGAGAGGGGTGTTTTCAGCTAAAAAGGTTTCGGCCTTGAAATATCGGTGCATCCCCACTATCACAGGGCAGCCTTTCCTTTTCCTAGACCTGCCCTCTGATAGGAAGTCCTGCTAGTAACCTGTGCAGCTAGAGAAATTAGTGTATCTAGGCCCTGCGATCTGTGTGGAAATGCTGTAATGGTTATTTGGGAACTATGCTAATAGTAAAATTTTTACTGATTACTTTACTGTAATATGCTTTAATGTCTTGGCACATGTCTGTAAATATTTACACATTTTCTCTCCCACGCAAACATTGCAAAATTATATATGGGCCCTTTTTTTTGTGTGTTTGTTTTTTCTGGGGGTTTTTAACTCGTCAGTTCATTTTCTGGATTCCTGTCTCCCAGTAAGCACCTTGGAAACTTGGTGCATTTCCTATAGAAATCAATAGGAGGTACATTTTTGGTGCGCTTGTGATAAAACACCGCACACATGCACCACAGCAATATGAACAGTTTCATAGGAGGGGAATCCTTTTCATGTGCTTTTGTTGCACTAAAAAGGTGTGCTTTAGCATGGCAAAACCACTCCTTTGGGAAAGGGCCCTATATACAGTATTTCTGCCTACTGGTTAGAAATGAAGAATAAACCTCCTGTGTATAAATTTAGTTTTGTAATCGGTTCATTGAAGGGCTTGATTCCTCTCGCCACCCCCCACCTCCACCCAGCACCTCACTCACACTGCCCTTGAGATTGCCAATCACTTCAAAAACAAGATTGACACAATTCGCAAGGACATTGCCGCACCTCACACACCCTCTCAACCTGTCCCCTCTCACACAGCTACCCCCTCATCCCCCCCCGTCTCCCTTGACATAACCCGCAGGGACTTCGTCGCTGCTCAAACTCCCTCCAACCCCATTCCCCCTCACTCAGCTACCCCCTCATCACCCCTCTCCCACTGCCCCACCACTGCTCTGACCTCCACTTCCACCCCACCCTACATTCCTCATACTGAAGCCCCCCCCAACACTTCACACCTTTGACCTTACTACCATCGAGGAAGTCTCCAAGATCCTCTCTGATGCCCGCCTCACCACCTGCCCCCTCGACCCTATCCCTCACAACTCCTACAAACCACCTCCCTCCCCCCTCCATCCTATGCTCCCTCCTCACCCACATCTTTAATCTCTCCCTCTCCTCCGGCACTTCCCCTCCCCTCTGAAACATGCACACATCCCCCACCCCCATACTTAAAAAGCCCTCCCTGGACCCTAATGACCCGAACAACCTCAGACCCATCTCCCTGCTCCCATTTACATCCAAACTCCTCGAGCGCCTAGTCTACACCCGCCCCCGCCAAGCTCTCACCTCAACGACGACAACCTCCTCGATCCCCTACAGTCCGGCTTCCGTCCCCTACACTCCACCAAAACTGCCTTACTCAAACTCTCCAATGACCTGCTAACCTCCAAAGCTAATGGCCACTATTCAGTGCTCCTGCTCCTTGACCTCTCTGCGGCCTTCGACACAGTCGACGACCACCCCCTCCTCCTCAAAAAACTACACTCCCTCGGCCTCAGAGATTCTGCTCTCTCCTGGCTCTCATCCTACCTGTCACAACGCTCTTTCAGCGTTTTTTTTATAATGCTACCACCTCCCCCTCACTCCCCCCCCTCTCTGTTGGGGTACCTCAAGGCTCCGTCCTCAGGCCCCTTCTCTTCTCCATCTACACCTCCTCCCTTGGCCAACTCATACACTCTCACGGCTTCAACTACCACCTATATGCCGACGACACACAAATCTATCTCTCAACCCCCCACCTCACCACCTCAGTCTCTGCCCGAATCGCACACCTACTGAGCGACATATCTGACTGGATGTCGCTCCACTTCCTTGAATGAACCTCTCCAAAACCGAGTTTCTTGTCTTCCCCCCCCCCCCCCCAGCCCAGACATCACCCCCCATTGACTTCTCCATCACATCCAACAACACCACCATCAAACCCGCCCCGCAGGCCGGAGTACTTGGTGTCATTCTGGACTCCAACCTATCCTTCCAGCCCCAACTTTAATCTTTAACAAGCTCGTGCAGACTCCACCTGCGCAACATCGCCAAAATACGCATGTTCCTAACCCCAGAAACCACTAAACAGCTCATTCACTCCCTCATCATATCACGACTCGTCTACTGCAACTCCCTCCTCACTGGCCTGCCTTGCCGCTGGCTATCCCCGCTTCAGTCGATCCTGAATACGGCAGCCAGACTCATTCACCTTTCCAACCGCTCCATCTCCGCCACCCCCCTCTGCCAATCCCTCGACTGGCTTCCGATTGCGCAACGGATTAAATTCAAAATCCTAACACTGATGTACAAAGCCATCCACCACACTGCCCCGAACTACATCACTGACCTAATATCCAAGTACCACCCAGCAGGCACACTCCGCTCCTCACAAGACCTCCTTCTCTCTAGTTCCCTGGTCTCCTCCTCCCATGCCCGCCTCCAGGACTTCTCCAGGGTGTCACCCATCCTCTGGAACTCCCTGCCCCAACCCATCAGATTATCACCTACTCTCCTCTCCTTTAGGCGCACCATGAAAACACATCTATTCAGGGCAGCCTACCCCACCCCCTGCTAACTTGCTGACCTCCTCCACTCTTCCTACCACTCCATCCCCCACAGCTATCTCCTCCTGTGCCACCATCCCCTCCCTCCTAGATTGTAAGCTCGAAAGAGCAGGGCCCTCAATCTTCTCATGTTTTTGCATTGTATTGTTATTGTTCTGTCACATGTTCTGTCCCCCTTTGTAATGTACAGCGCTGAGCAAACTATTGGCGCTTTATAAATACTGTATAATAATAATTCCTGTCGATCCACCTAGACACTGCTCAAAAAAATTTAAAGAAACACTTTTTAATCGGAGTATAGCATCAAGTCAATTAAACTCCTGGGATATTGATCTGGTCAGTTAAGTAGCAGAAGGAGTTGTTAATCAGTTTCAGCTGCTTTGGTGTTAATGAAATTAACAGGTGCGCTACACAATGAGACAACCCCCAAAATAGGAAAGATTTTTACAGGTGGAGGCCACTGACATTTTTTTCCCTACTCTTCTTTTCTGTTTTTTCACTAGTTTTGCATTTGGCTAGGGCAAGTGTCACTACTGGTAGCATGAGGTGATACCTGGACCCTACAGAGGTTGCACAAGCAGTCCAGCTCCTCCAGGATGGCACATCAATACGTACCATTGCCAGAAGATTTGCTGTGTCTCCCAGCACAGTCTAGTTACACTAGGAGAGCTGAACAGGGCCGTAGAAGGTCCTTAACCCATCAGCAGGACCGGTATCTTCTCCTTTGTGCAAGGAGGAACACGATGAGCACTGCCAGAGCCCTACAAAATGACCTCCAGTTGGCCATTGGTCAGAGACATTCACACCAAATGATCAGAAACAGACTTCATGAGGGTGGCCTGAGGGCCCAACGTTCTCTAGTGGGCCCTATGCTCACTGCTCGACATCATAGAGCTCGATTGGCATTTGCCATTGAACACCAGAATTGGCGTGTCCACCATTGGCACCCTGTGCTTGTCACAGATGAGAGCAGGTTCACTCTGAGCACATGTGATAGACGTGACAGGATCTGGAGAAACCATGGAGAATGTTATGCTGCCTGTGACATCGTTCAGCATGACCGTTTTGGTGGTGGGTTAGTGATGGTCTGGGAAGGCATATCCATTGACTGACGCACAGACTTCTACAGGCTAGACAATGGCACCCTGACTGCCATTAGGTATTGGGATGAAATCCTTGGACCCATTGTCAGACCCTATGCTGGCGCAGTGGGTCGTGGGTTCCTCCTGGTGCACAACAATACCCAGCCTCATGTGGCGAGACTATGCAGGCAGTTCCTGGAGGATGAAGGAATTGATACCATTGAATGGCCCCACGCTCGCCTGACCTAAATCCAATAGAACACCTCCGGGATATCATGTTTCGGTCCATCCAGCACCTCAGACGATCCAGGAGCTCAGTGATACCCTGGTGCAGATTCTGAAGGAAATACACCAAGAAACCATCTGTCATCTCATTAGGAGCATGCTCCGATGCTGTCAGGCATGCATACAAGCATGTGGGGGCCATACAAACTACTGAGTACCATTTGTTGTTGCAATGAAATTTCAGCAAAATGGACTATCCTGTTGCATAATTTTTTCACTTTGATGGAAATGAAAAATGATCAACCTACAGAGGAATGAATTCAAAAGACACCCGAAAATCAAATGATGGGGCATCCTTACTTTCACACATTACCCAATCCATCTCAGTATAGATATCCAGCATGATATTTTTCCCCATTGAGATCTGATGTGTTCTCAAAGTGTACCTTTTAATTTTTTTGAGCGGTGTATAATGTTAGTCAGTATGGATTTATGTTTTCAGAAAATGTGAGAAGTACTGTAGCTAACCCCATGAATTTGGTTTTGTTGTTTGTTTCTCAGCCCTGAATCCTCACGCTGCTCTGTCTCAAGTGCGAGAGCATCAGCTGTCTCTACAGGATGACCCTGCTCCGGAAGTCCCTGCTTGTGTTCTCCCCAGGGCAAACCTTGATCCTGTCCATGCCAACCCCCCGGTCCCCAATGCTATCCGTTCTGCTGAAGCTACACTTTTGGAAAAAATTAGCTGGGCCTCACATCAACTAAAAGAAACTAGTTCTGTGGAATATAGCTCTCAGTTATGTGCCCTTATTGGTTCTTGTGCCCAAAGTCTGCGATTTCTTCAAGACCTTCGCCACTGAAGCCTGAAGCAGCACAGATTTTAAACGGAAATAGTTCAGCTTGTCATTTATTGCATTTTTATTTTCTTATATATTTTTCTTGAATTATAATATCACAATAAATTATTAATCTCATTTTCTGTGTGTTTAGCTTGACTGCAGTTAATTTTTTCACTATAAAAGTATAAGGCTGAAGGGTCAGCATCGGCATTCTAAAACTACAAATGCAATAAATGCAAAAGTGTGATCCGGACAGCTAAAATAGATTAGAGACACATTGAGAAGAGTAAAAAAAAAAAAAATCAAAAAACATTTTTCAAATATATTAATAGTAAAAACGAGAGTTAAGAACTTATTGGATCCATGGTTGTAAGTTATAGGGAGAAGGCAGCGATATTAAATACATTCCTCTCCTTATACGAAGGAAAAAGGAGGGGTATGGTAATCAAGTTATTGTTAATAACCATATATTGGATGTACACTTGTGACTGCATTAAGTTTTTGTAGTCTTTTTTGAATACTGGTCTCTGCCAAACAAATCACCAGGACCAGATGGCTTAAATGCAAGAGTTCTCAAGGAACATAGCCATGGTATAGGCAGACTGTTATTCCTAATTTTTAAGGAAAGCTTACTGACTGGAATGGTAGCAGCTGATTGGCAAAAAGCAAACATGGAGCCAATAATCAAAATGGGCTGAGATATACCTGGGAATTAGACCAGTCAGCCCAATATCAATAGTATGTAATCTATTGGAAGAAATTATATGGGACCATATCCAAGAATTTTCTGATGAAAATAGTAGTAGTAATTAGTAGTAACCAACATGGATTAATGAACTGTTCTTGCAACAAAATTTTAACATTCTATGAGGAGGTGAGTTTGATTGCAAATTGCTCTCTCCTGGGACCAATCCTGCTTAACTTGTTCATAAATGATATAGAGGTTGGAACAAATAGTTCAATCTCAGCTTTTGCTGACAATACAAAACTAAGCAGGCAATAAATTAAGAACAAGAATGTGCAAAATTACCTAGATAAAAAGGGGGGTGGAATGGCAGATGAGGTTTTATGTGGAAACCTCACGCACCCAGGGTGCATTCTGATAGTGTCGGGAGGGGGGTGGGACGGTATATATTTACCACAGAAATGGGGGAACACCAGATGTGAAAGTCATTAGCATCCAGATTCATCATAAAGCTGGACAGGTTTGTGGTCACGGCCAGGTATCCCCTAGCCTTCACAGGGGGACACTGCTGATTCCTTGGTCATGGTTCAGACAAGTGTGTACTTTCCCTCCAGTGAAGATTCTCCCTCTACTGCTCCGCATGACTTGCTATTCTGTGTCCTATGTTGTACTCCGGGGTTAAATAATTTACTGTTAAGTGAAAACTACCACTTTTTTTAAAAAATTTTTTCAAAATGATTCAAAATAAAATAGGCTTCACAGGATACCACAGTCATTAATGGCTCTATTCCAATGTTTGCATACCTTAGTTCTTAAGATCGTGTATTGTCACCTTTTAGCTTCAATAAATAGTAGGTCATTATTATTAATGATATTTTTTTTTTTTTTTTTTCTTTTGGAAACACTGCCCATTCTTCTAAGCAAAAAAACCCTCTAGGTCTTGTAAATTCTTTGGTTGTCTAGCATGAATGCATATGTGAGACTACTTTACAGTGTTTGATCTTCAGAACTATCACTTTTTTGCTGCAGCCACTAAAAGGTTACTTGGTCTTATGTTTTGGATCATTGTCCATTTTGGCAAGTTCAAGTGAGCCCCAAGCACAGCTGATAAATGCAAATTTCCTTAAATATTTTCTTTTATCACTGGACAATACATTTTTTTTTCAAAGGTTGTTTCCTGAAAACATGATAGACTCTTCAAACATAACTAATTTCAGATTGACGGTATCACTTGAGAATCTTGATAAATATGACATCAACTTTTAATTACTATACTGTATGCGCATAATGTTTCCAACACACTACATGAGTCAAATAAGGCTAAAAGTGTTTTGCTGCAGATTTTTGTTTGTACTCTTTGCTGGGTGCATCTCGCTGCAGTGTGCAACAATACTCCAGCCAGCACTGATGGATTCCATTTGTTTGGTTGCAATTTTTCCATTGTGGCAATGCCCTGGTGAAACCTTTTTACCATGTTTATCGCTGGTTGCACTTAGATTTCCAGTAAAGATGCCCCAAGTGTGAATGCAGAAAATTAATTTGCAGTGACCTTTTTCCCTTCATGATCTTTTATGCTGTAAGAAGTTTCTCAACCAGCTGAATGTAGTTTGGTGCTCTGTAGTTACAAAAAAAAAATACATCCTTTAAAGAGTAACTCAACTTTTGTTGAAGAAAAAAAAAACATTCCCCTCTGGGTGATCTGTGTACATTGTGAGTATTTTAACTTACTTTGTTGCAAATTCCTACTCTTTTGTTATTCTTAAGAAGTGTTGTTTGCCTATGTCCATGCGCAGAGTGAATCTTTATGTAAATGATTTTACAATTCTCAATCAGCTGCTGCACTTGCAGGGTTCTAATAAGGACAGTGGCAGGGTCGGCATCCCTTTAGGTGCAATTTACCCTTGTAAGTATCTCACCAAAATGCAATTTTAGTTGCGGATGCCCAAAATCTGACTTGTATCTTAGTGTAGACTTCCAGGAAAATCAGTAAACCAATTACACAAGCAGGAAATTACATTCCTGTGTGGTGTTCTGTGCACCACCTGTGTTCAGAATGCCTCCAGGCTGCCATATTGAATTGCATTTTACAGAGAATTATAGCAGATTGAAAAGGAAATCATTTTTAATATTCAATTGCAATATGACTTGTGTTGCAATTCTATTTGCTATTGTTTTCCCCACAAAAGTGGAGTTTTCACACAGACGTTCCAATTGGGTCCGCCTGCCCATTTTTTAGGCCGACCCGATCGGAACCTCTATGCTTCTCTGTGGAGCAGCAGGTGTAAATGGACATGTCTGTTTACACGCACCTACATCCGATCCACCAGAAAGAGATGAATCGGATGACCGTCAGATGGAAAAGAACAGCTGGTCTGTTTCCATCCGACAACCATAGAGGATGGCAGGCTGTGTCCGTGTCCACTCTACATAAATTCCAAATTCTTTTGTTCGGGAAATATTGAGGTTTCTCTAAGTGCTATTTGGTAGGTTGTAAGTAGACTGTTTAGTGATATAGGTGTACCTAAAATGCTTACCATTATCCAAATTCTGCAGGGGTATGTAAACGTATATCCACAATGTATAGGTATATACTGTGGGGGATATCACAACTGACGAGGGCTAAAATAACTTGGGGGTCTTTGCCTCAAAATGTACCATAGAAGAAATAAGGATAAAGGAAACAAGGTAAAAATCCAAAATTATATAAAATACACAATTTTTATTACATCACAAAAAAGTATCACATGATCATAAAAAATTCCAAACACTTTATCCAAATATGTCTACACATTTCACGGTTAACCACTTCTTCAGGACAACATTACATGGAGGAGTTCTGACAGAATGCGGCGCCAGACCCTTGCCCTTCTCACCAATTTGTGACAAAGGACCAGCCTATCTCACACCACGCTGTCACTTGCGTAACAATGCCACTTTCAGCTGCGCCCTGCACAAAGATTTTCCAGGTCGCGGGACCACAATCTATGTTCCAGCAGCTTGAGAGCGATTTGTTTCTGGGTTAAGTTAATTACGCAATGCCACCACTGCCTTTTTACAGAGGAGGAAACTCACAAATCCTAGTAATAACACTATATTGTTATTACTATACGTTATTGTTATTACTATAATCGTATTGTTACGATTGTAGCATAAGCGTTTGCAGCACACACTGCCACCGCAGACAGGGATATTTAGAGGATTATTATATACAGTAGCATTCTTCCAGAGACAGAGATTCTTTAGTTTGCATTAAAAGCTTTAGAGACAGTTTCAACACTTTTCAAAATTGGATTTATTACTAAAAAGGTCAAACTGGTGCAATAAAAATATTTACAGACAAAGATGTTACAGAGGCATAAAGAGAACAATAAAGCAACAGAGAAAAAAGGAGTTAAGAAGGCAGAATACTTGCAAAGTCCTGGTTTAGTAGAGTCCAATTGTCCGAGCAAAAGTGTTGCCTTGCCTCTCAACTCCGTTAGATGTTTCTTGATTGATGTTAAACAAGATCTCCCTTCACCAAGCCTGTCCAGTCCTTTTCTATGATATTAAAGGGGTGTCGCCTGAGAACAACTGACCAATCATCCGATTTAGGGGATGGGTGCTAGGAGGTAAGCATGTTTATGACCAAGTCCCAACTACAATTTCATACTAATATTAATAACTTCCAGTATGTGGAGGTGGTATTCTAGCAACTGACTGGCAGATTAATATTCAGAATTATATTTCAAGGGATACCAAAACACCGCATACCTTTGTCACCCAGGAGGGAAGAGATTGCTTTCTCCCCTTTCCTATGTGCTAACCTAGTCATGTAGGACCTTGATTGGTTTGGCATGATATGCCCTATTCAAATATATTCTTAATATTAATGTGCCCAGTTCCTGTTGAATTCTTTGAATTGTGTGTGGAATTGTTACATGTGGAATAGACGTTTTGTGGCACACTCTGCATTCCTAGAGCTCTAATGGCCTAACAGGTCATTTGTGATGGCTGACTGAGTTATTTTTTATGATAGGGCAGAGGAAAGTGGTTTAATGGTTCCTAAAAAATAGACATTCTGCCAAGACTAATTAGCGGTTTACAGCTCCGGAGCTGGCGTCTATTTGTGTTTTATTTAAGATAAGAGGCTCTTTTGAAGTTTGTTACAACTTACAGCCACAAATTCCATTTTCAAGAGGAGGGAGGAGGGGAGAAAGATGATTGTTCATGAAAAACAAAATGACTGAGACCTTAACAAGATGGCTGTCGCATACAGTTTCTATGACTCTATTGCGCATAATCGTTACAGGAATGTGCATATTTTATATGCTTTTCTTAGTCTACAATCAAAAAGAAG